AGATGATGGCGCATACAAAAGGTTTCATTCCTATTTTCCTGACGATGAACGTTTGATAGTCTGCGCCAAGAAGCGTGTCGAAGGAAACAAAAGAATCGTCACTATTAAAGATGGTCAGTAAAAGGAAATGAGTAATGCCCTCATATTCTGCCTATCTTTCCATTCCATGAACTCTTAAGTCCCTAATGAAAGATTGTTAGCAAGTCACCTTTTTTTTCTGTTCACTAATGTCCAAGGTGTAATGAACAAGGTAGCACCACAGATATTTCTATTTTAAGATGGCAGTGTGAGGTTACATTATGTTATAGGAGCGGAAGGATGAGATTTAATACATCATAGTTTACAAAAAATGTAGGCTGTTTTTTTATAGTCTTGACTTCCTTTTCTAGGAAAATTTTTGTTGTAGAGCTGTAGGCTCGTTTTCAGTACATAAAGTAAAGTTCCCCTTTTGTATGTTGTGATCTATAGGGCAAATGATGTTAATGGTTAAGGTCATCTGCTTATTTGGCCAACAGTTAACGAGCAGGGTGTCATGTGGCCAGTACAATTACCAACTTTCCCCAACTAAATTGAGGTACCCATTAGAGTTGGGTGGACTCAGGAGTCCCTTAAAGGTTCAGAAATTCAAATCCTGGTCTTCACCGAGATTCAAACCGAGGACCCCAGGTTCGGAAGCCAAGCACTAAACCACTCATCCACTGTGCCCCCATTTCAGTATGTGACATCGAGAAATAGCATACATTTCATCTCAGCTGCCCATCACTGCCATACAGGATGTTGGTTATATTGTGTTGCTAAAGTAATAGACAATAAACTAAATTTTACTGCAAATACTGATTATATCAACAAAAAAGGGCAGCAAAGATTATTATTACTAAGAAAACTGTCCTCGTTTAATGTTAGCCAAAAGGCCTTGGCTATATTTTATCACGCTCACATCTGCAATATTTTAAGTTTCAATATCACTGCCTGGTATAGCAATCTGAGCATTAAAAATAAAAATAAACTTTATAGAATCCTAAATGCTGCTGGTAAAATCATTGGCAAAAAACAAACCCCATTCGGGCAGCTGTTTGAGACTAACATCTATAAAAAAGCTAACAAGATCCTAGAAATAAAGAATCACCCTTTGTGTCAGGATTTTGTGATTTTACCATTACAAAAGAGATACAAGACACCGATAGCAAAGACAAAGTTCCCCTGGCAATCAAATCATTAAATAGGAACTATCTGATATAAACTTTGTCACATGTAAATTATGAGTGAGTCTGGTGTGAATATACGTTTTGGTTTCTTATAGTTATAATGTTTTTTTTTTTGTTTGGTGTAATGCACAAATTGTAAGACAAATTTCCATACGGACAATAAAGATTAATATTATTATTTTTATTAATAGGATCAGTCTGGGTTAAGTTGGGACTTTCTTAAAGAAGATGTTTAACAGTTTCATAAAGGTTTGAGCACCATTTTCTGTGGGGTAGAAGTGTTTGCGTTATTTATTTTTTTTAATGAAAATTAAAATGGTGTGTCCTGTTTCATTTCATTAGGAAATTATGTCTGATGCCAACCAGTGGAGGAATTTAATATTGTCTAGTTTATTGGGCAGGGTCATTTCTCTGGAGATAGTTCAGTCTTTTTCCTAAGGCTTGTTTTGTTTTTAAATTGCTACTTAACATAGACTTTAAAATGCTGTAGATAGCTAGTCTTTCTGCTTGCTCCTGCTTCTGACACTTTGTCTGCTTTGTGATTTTCATTTATGGGGGAGGGGGGAGGAAGAATGAGAAAGAAGACAAATGTCTTAACATACAAAATGGATTCTCTTTTGTTGCTCTCACAAGTAGATATCTCCAATAAGGACAGCTCAAAGGAGCCAAATTGGACAGCTTCAATGAGCTGTTTTTTATCACATATTTTTTTTTAGATATCACATTAAAAAAATACTAATAATCTATTTTAGTAATGTAATAAAAATGTTTATTTAGTAATGATGTATTTGTTAATTGTGTGTTTCAGGGAATCCAAATCGCAGGCATGTTGTCATCATTGATGATCTGGTACAGTCAGGTGGCACTTTGATAGAATGTGCCAAAGTAAGGAACATTATACTTTAATAATCTTAACATATAGCTTCACCTTCACCTATCCCTTAGTCTGTTGGACTGTTGGGGCACCACAAAAGATTTTTCTACATTCCTTTCTGTCTTTTGCCTTGGGTAAAATCTCTTTCAATGGCAGGCCCATCCATGTTGTCTTTCCATCGCTTTCTCTGTCTTCCTCTTCTTTTTTCCTTGAGGACCTTTTGATATGGCCACAGAGGTTTAGTTTGTGTTTTTTTTTTAACCAGTCATCATGGGGTCACATCGCTGTACTAATCCTGTCTTTAATATCTTCTTTTGTGATGCTGTCTTTGTCAATGGTACCTAGGATCTTTCTGTAGCATCTCAATTCCATTGCTAGGATTTTCCTCTCTAGTTCTGCAGTCAGTGTCCAATTCTCATTGCTTCACATAAACCTAATTTTCATAGAAGAAATTGTGTTTTCTTGTTTGTGTCTTTTTTTTTCAAATAATACATTTATATTAAAAAAAAATAATTTATTATTGTTTTTTTTTTTTTTTTTTTTTTTAGGCTTTAGCTAGAAAAAAGATTTCCTTGATTAAAAAATTATTTTGTTACTGATCATTCAAAGGGTTCTAAGAAGCTCACCATTTGAGAAGTGCTTCCCTCCTTCATTCTCCCCTGCTCCCATCACTCATCTCTCCTCCTTTTTTTTTTTCCATTTGTTTTGTTTTTAATTTGATCTGTTTTGCTTTTATTCTGATTTTGTGGAACTATTTTAAGTTGACCAAAGAAACATTAAGTTGGCCTTGATCTAAAATGCTGTTGTTGTTTGGGTTGTGCATGTGACTGGGTCATGTGATACTTTGTCAACTCTCAACACTACATGAAAACAACAGTATGGCAGTAGATGTTAGAGATGATATAGAAAGCATAAGAGAAATAGAAGCATATTGGAACAGAAAAAAATTGTGTGACAGTGTTTCATCAGATTTCAGTTTGCTCAATTTTCTTGGATACGCATGCCTTAAGTCACTAAAATAGCTTTATGAAGACAGGGCATACAATTTATTGGTCTTAGAGTTGGCAGCTTTGTGATTTGGCCTAAAGAAGGTGATCAACATCACTAGTATTCCAAAATATATGGGATGACTATTTGTCAAGTTATAACCAATTTGGTCTGACAATAAGATGGTCTGAGTTTAAATTGCTGCCTGCCTCCTGTGATAATAAAAAAAATTCAGACAGTCCCTCGGATATGAAGAATATTAAATCCTAACAAAAACCTGCTTGGGGCGTCAGGGGATGATAGTGAGCAGGGACCACCATTACAACAATCCAATGTATAATTGCAGTTGGAGTTTATAATCTATAATAAAAAGAATGTTTGAGACTTATACAACTATATTAAATGAACTACTCTACTTTGGCTTCACAAATTCTTAAACATGCTTATCTTATCTTTTAGATTACAGACATTACTTCAAAAAAGAAGATAATTATGTCTTATGCATTTTATGTGTCAATTTATTCATTCATGTTAATCAATGACTTAAACTCTGCTAAATCATTATATTTTCCTGACTGATTTAGGCAACACATTCTATTCTCTAATGGCACTAGAGAAAAAGGAGCACTTGTAGGAATTTGTTCTAGCATATGGAATAAGAAATGTGCCTTTATCTTTGTAATTTTCTGAGTATTTTATTAAGATTTTGTTTTCTTTTTGTAAACTTATGCTTATTCTTATTCTCTTCTTGGCCAGGTTCTTATCAAGCAAGGGGCCAAATCTGTGAGCGCTTATGTCACCCACCCAGTGTTTCCCAACCAGTCCTGGAAGAACTTCATTAAATGTGATCCTCCCTTCTCTAACTTCTGGATCACCAACTCCATCCCTCATGCGGAAGAGATCTGCAAGCACAGGCCGTTCACACTTCTGTCTCTGAGCGACATCATAGCTGACAATCTTCTGGGCTTTGACCTCCGACCCCGCTAATCAACAGTATCATCTCAAGCTGTTTTTTGTATTATCTGTGATTTAGGTTTACATAAAATAGAAAATTAAAAATTTTCTAATGTTTAAAACCAGTTTTATAACACATATTTTCCCTGTTAAACTGTATTGCGTAATTTTTTAAATGTGTATAAACTATAGCACATAGACAGTTTTTCTCTTATATTTATAGGTCAGAGGTTTAACACTTTGTGACATATATAGATTTGAGCATTCATATTTTGAGCCACTATACATTTATTTTTTGCACATGTAGAAAAGTAGAATCTAGACTAAATCTAAACACTATATCCTTCCAAAATGTGCCATTTTCAGTTTAAAATTTATATCTAGGTTTGTTGTTTTTTTTTAAACTTGAAATTACTTTTACCTAAATGAGGGTCTTAAAGTTTTAAGAAAATGTCTGTAAAACAAAAGCATAAAAATATTTTGTTTCTATTTACGACAAATTACGAGATTGAAAGGAATTAGATTGTGCTGATTAGGTTGTAGAAAATTTTGTATTGATTTGATTTGAAAAACCCTTTACATTTGACAAATTAATTTTTAACATGCGACAAGTTATGTTAATTAAATTTTACTTTGCTTAGAATCAGACTGATAGCCATTGGTGTTCATGTACAATTTTGATATTGTCATTGAAATGTCAAAGTTACATTTTTTTTTAATTTCAGGACCAAACACATTTGAAAGCCTGAGGTTCTCATCGGGTAGAGAATCTTATAGTTGATATTGCTCTGTTTCACTTTTTATTACTAATAAAGATTTTGCCTATGTTTGTATTACAACTAAGTAATTCTAAATATTTAGCCCACCAAAAATGAAATGAATGGGACTGTTATATATAAATAAACCTTTGATATTTTAAACATTAAATACAACTATTCATTGGGTCATCTTATTCATAGTCATCTCTTGAGACTACAATCTTTTTTTTTTTTTTTTTTTTGATGGTACTACCCAATTACCGGCACCTCTTTATTCTTTGACATTCTTCCAACCTGACCATCCTAGCATAATTTATTTAAAATTGTGGCACTATAGAAAGGTTCTAGAGCTGGTATTGCTCCTTGATCATGTGTATCTGCCTTCTGGTATCATCAAACACTGGTCCATATATTTTCTAAAAACTTTCACAGGCTAAATTAAACTGCCTGAATCAAGATAAATCCTCTAGATTCTGTTATTCTTTAGGACAAAATGAAAGAATTTTGTCATTTACATTTTTCTATAATCAGTTAGTTTGCTTTTCAGTGGATTGTTCATCATAAACTATTTAAAAATCTTGTCTTATAAATTACAGCTCAATCTAAATATTTACTAGAATTTACATTTAATGTCTTTGCACAAACAACTAAATCTTAGGTGGTCTTTTTTCTATATTTAAAAAAATCATGTTCTTATTTCAAGAGGAGCATATTCTCAAGCCACAAACTATTCTCAAACCACAAACATGCTTTGATCCATATTTTTTTGTGTGTAAATATTTTTAGTGTATCAGTTAGTTCATAAATATTGCAGCTCAATTCAAAACATTTTTTTTATTTCAGTGACACTGACCATGAAATGTCTTTTAACTTTTTTTTTAGTTCATTGTTGTTATTTTATTAAATCACATCAAAGTTAAGAGTCTGAATCAATGCATTATGTTTGGGGACCATGTAATTGAAACACATCAAAAGTTAAGAGTTTGAATTAATGCATTATGTCTGGGGACCATGCATTATGCTCTAAACTACTTTCTGTTTCATCTTGTTTATGTATTGATAGCAGTGTTACCATATTGACCATACCTTTATGTTTGATAGAATACAGCTACAACTATTAAATTCATTTTACTTGATGTTATAATGTGAGTCTTTAGAACTTGTAAATTAGACACATTGTACTTCATATTGTCATCTTTATTATCTCATTCAGTTGTGAGTTTCTATTTATTACCAAGCTTATATCAACTCACTCAGTTTGTCTGTCTGTCTGGGCAAAATCTTGTACACATTATTTCTCAGATCAAGTTGAAACAATTATTCCTTGTCGATGACAGCCCATGAATTTTAAAAAAATTTGTTTATAAATTAGTTGTAATTAATTTATTTAGTTTTATATGGAAAATGAACTAAGCTAATGGGAGATAACCCTTGCAATAATGAGAGTTGTGGCAGTAATTGAACTGTGCCCCCCTCCAACCCCCCCTCCCCGAGCGAGAATGGGACTCCTGTCAATATGCTAGATAGCAGATGCATAAAAGTCATAAGATAAGTAGAGTAACTTACAGTCAGATAAGTTAACAAAAAATGTCTTTGTTGATGAAGGCCTTTTGGCCCAAACATCCTGCCTTTTTTCTTTGGTCCTGCAGGATTTCCTATATATATATGTCTATGGTATTTTCTATACAATAAGTTTTTGTAGCTCTTCTGCTGTTAAGCACATATTGAAAACAATTCATTTAATGTGTCAACCTTTTAAAGCAGATGGAATCCAACATTTTGTTTTCCTTGAACAGCTTCCATAACACATTGCTGATAGGAGACTAATTAGTTCTTCTTGAGACCTGATTGATACTTTTAATATTACATAACAACCGAATCTTTTTTTTTCTTGTACCAGTATCCACTAAACAATGTTTTATAAAATTTATTTTTATCTACAAGTTACAAAAAAGTATAGTTCCCCATGCGGTCTATACGGAAGATGATTAAAGGTCATCTGTTTCTGTGGCACATGGTTTATGAGGAGGGTCATGTGGCCAGCACAAGGACCAGCTGTATTTACTTTTCACTAATGTCACATACCACGTAATGTGGAATCATAGATGCCTAAAAGATCTCAAAATAAAAAATTCCAGGTTTGAAAGCCAAGCGCTTTACCCCTCAGCCACGACGCCCCCAAAACTTAGCTGGAAAAAAGTTAATTTTTGGTTTTCAATAAAACTGTTTTATTGTTAATATTTTGTTTTAAACATGTTGACTTTCTTATCTATGTTGCCATTAAATAAATAATAAATTTAAAAAAAAACATGAAAAATTGTGTTCTGCATTTTTTTTGGTTTACCAAGTTTCCATATGGATAAACAATAGAATATTTTGAAAAGTTTCTATAACTGTCTCAGCAAGTATGCAAACCAGAACTGCACTTTCTTTTGTCTAGAAAAGGAAGCCAATTTGTTTGTTGTTCTGTTATTTGAGCTATTCTTTGTTTTAGCACCTCCAAAAAAAAAAAAGAGTTGAGCCAGAAACTATTGAGAAAAAAAGTATTTTCTTTCTCAGGGGCCAGGAATAAAAGATTGGCTCTCCATCAAACCACTCTTGTCTTAAAATCATCTACCAGATCATTTCAACACATGGATTGTGGAGGAAGAAATTTTGAATGGTATTTTTGCTGACTTTTAGGCTTGGCATTTAATTAAGTTTCAGGAAAAGTGTGATTTTCAGATCCAGATGAGACCAACATATTTTGCCACATCCAATACAGACTAACTAGGGATCAATTCAAGTTCACATTTTTTTTTCCTATCTTCTGTATTTGGTGCTAGCTTTCATTTTGGTCTTTAATGTGTGCGTCCCACCACTTTTGTAAGAGTTCTTAAGGCCAAGCAGTGCTTGTCAACCTCACCGTGCGCTTGGGTGGAAATGGTGGTTAGAGAAGACAATTAGGCCAATAGGGAAGCAAAAAAAAAACTGTTGGGGTGCCTAAGGACCGAGTCCATTGCATTGGCAGGGATGGAAGAAATCCCAAACAAACATGTAAATTTCCACTTCATACCGTTCCTCAAAGGACTTTTTTATGGAAGACAACTGCTTGGCTAATGTGATACTGAGAAGGAATGAGGGCGAGTTTCCCTGATATGCTCAGCCATTGGCCTCGCTTGTTATTCGAGCACCTTGGGATATGAGCCATTGGTAATAGGGGTGTAATAATTTACATCTGCTTAAATCTTTCCTAGACAGATATTTACAGGCAGATGGAGACAAGCATCCTTAGGCCTAGAGTTCCAAAAAGACAAAAGACTCAGCTCTAATGATGACAATTAGAGTTCTCCAGGTGTTTCTTTAAAAGTTATTTGCTGAAAGGTGTTCTCTTCTATGCTGAGACCTGAGCCAGTCTATGAAGCATTTACAACGGACACTACCTTGTGCCTCTTTAATTGAACCTAAACAAATAAAAACTTTTTTCCTATCCAGCAAAGGTGTTGAAAATTTAGAAGTAACTGTCCACACTGGCATTCAGGATTGGCCAGAACAAAGTTATGAGTGATGATATTATAAAGTACTGTAATTAAAAATTAATAAAACTATCAGCAAAGTTTTATTTTATGAAGTTAGTTTTTTTTATTGCCTTCCCAAATAGAGTACAACAATATTAGCCAACCAGTCCACCAAGTTACAGCTGAGTTGGCCAGATTTTAAGGGAAAGTCAAATCAAAATAAAAATGAACAAACAAAAACAATGAAAATGTATGTTGATGAATTAAAAACAATGTCACGACTGCTGTACACATTGAAGACAGAATATTATGGACAAAAATAAGTAATAACAGTCATGTGGAATTTTTCATTGTGATGCTGCAATATTCGCAGAGCAGACATTATTACCAAAAGAGAATCACGCACAGAGCCAAATATATTACATTAGCAGTTTTACTTCCATTAGTTAGGTCAGAGGTCACACGTTTAACCTATAAGTTCAAACAATAGGTGGTTCTATAGATCTAATAGAAAGAGCCCCAGAGTCAACATGACTTATAATTTAGCAAGGGGGGGGGGGGGGGGAGCAACCATACTAATGATTAGCAGGAAACAGTACTGCCTTATTTATTGTCCAGCAAAGTTCAGACCATCAAGATGAAAAAAAAAAGGCAGACCTGAATCAATCAATCAAAATATATAAGTTAACATAGATCTATACTTAAAAAAAAAAGACAAAGTATCCAAATAGGTACTGTATTATCTACAACACATTTATTAAAGTATTATCTACAACACATTTATTTATCGCCAAAAGAATTGGAATCACAATTATAACATTTGTCATGGGTTAGTATTTTGACAGCACACACACACACACAATGTATTCTGTGATAATGACATAGTATATAGCCCAATTCAAAATAAAAACAAAATGACTACATATGCTAATATGAACCAAAAGTTTTCCACTACAAAAACTTAAAACATTAAGCAAAATGTTACCATCATAAAATCATACACCAACAAAGTATGTCTTTGTACACTTTGACATTCCATTGAAGCTTTACTTTCATCAATCTGTGTCTATCTGTGTCACAAACCTCTTTCACTCTTGTTCACATTCTTAACATCCAATCATATTTACAGGAATCACCTATCTACACCACAGTGTCGCTAATTCCTCCCTCTTGTATGTAAAACATTTTTTCCCCAGTTTTAGGTGATCTTGTTTTTTTAGAATGAATATGTAAAAATCATGATAAATTCATACATAAACCTGATGTACAAAGAAAGTAAAAGCTAATGAAGTAAATTAATCCAGGCTAAAGATGAGAGTGAAAAGAAAGGAAAGCTGAGATTTAGTACTTGTGACTCAATTCTTGTGGTATCTATATATTGTTTGTTTGCCTTTTTTAATATTAAGACACTAGTACTTGCTAACTTTGTGACTTACTACTTCTGCCATGAATGCTGATATGAAAAGAATAACAAAACATTCATTTCAAATGTTAGACATTTTCACCAAGTTAGTGAGACTATGAATGAATTGTCAATCAAATGCTTTGATAATCAAATAGTGAAAGTGTGACTCTTTAATGACAACCCCAAGTTTCAATTTTAATAAGGACCAAATTATTTCAAGTAAGAAGATTAATGGAATTTTAAAAAGGGAGATTACTCAGAAACATTTTTAGTAACTATATGAATGAAAAAAGTGCTTCTATCCTTGAAAGAAGTAGAGGATTTTTCTTATTTATTAAAGGCATATAGAAACAACAACAACAACAAAAAAAAAAGTTTATAACGTTGTATATGTAAAGTTATTTAACTAATTCAATATTTTATTTTCAAATAGGATTCTTATTTACAGTCAGCGATACAAATCCGACTTAACATTTTTAAACAATACTGGATTGTGGCTGGAAAAATATGAACTCACTACCTAAGATGTAAAAACTTTGCAAGAAAATAAAACTTTAGTATAGTCAATAAGATTATGATGATGATGATTTATTTTTCAATGCTTAAATAAAACTATTTTTTTTTTCTGTTGTAAATTTTATATGATTGCTTAAAACCAATGCCAATATCATTTGATATTTAAATCATTTTTTTTCCTATGAAAAAAATAAGTATGTACAGTAAATTTCGTAAGATTCAAACTCTTAACTATATGAAATGAATCTCAATTTACTAAATATTTTTATATATAAAGAAAAAAAACTTTTTCTAATAAAAAAATTGTAACATCAAGATTCAAGACAGACAAGGCACAAGACAAATCATCCCAGAGAAGTTAATCCTGATTAAAAAAAATAAAGATTTTTATTTAAATTCTTTCAATATGTTTCTAGTCCATAAAAACAGTTTAAATTATACAAAAGTTGGACAAATTGTATGTTAGGGTGTGACCAAGATTTTATTTGTATTTTATTTTATTTATAAATTAATCTCTACAAATGTCAATAATAAAATAATATATAAATGTCTATTTGAGAAAGAAAAAGGTAAAATGACATTTTCGAGTATTAATAGAGAAAATAGAAAATATGAATTTTTTATGCATATTGAATATGTACTTATATCAACAATGTAGATCTATATTTCCCTTCCCTTCTAAACTTTTTTTCATTTAGCAATGTAAACATTTTTTATTTTTTTTATTTTAATATTCTAAAAAATTTTTGTTTGTTTTGATTTAATCATGTTTTTTCTCAAGTCGTATAAGCTTGCATTCAGTTTTACTTTAAAAATCTAATTCAACGGATCATTTCAAAATTTTGTAGAAATATATTTCAAGCAAAAAAAAAAAGACTTTTAGAATTGTTCAATTTTCCAACCAAATTTTTTATTTCAGTGGCCTTTTTAAGAATTGTGTTTTTGTTATTATACAGAATAAGATTAAAAAAAAAAAAGTTGATCACTAAAAAAATGACTTTTTGAAATAACAAGTTGCCCTAGTTATTAAATATAAAGAATTTCTTGTAATAAAATACTGTTTTTAAGCATATCACAAATTGTTAATTAAAGGAACATGTACATAGCAGCTGTCATAAAAGAAAAAATAGATTTTGCAAAAAGAAGGTGATAGTAGTCCAACAAAATCATGCTTATCTCCATTTTGTATTGAACTCGATTTGTTTAAATTATACAATGATCTATTGATATGGAGTTTTAAGTCTAGATTTTATCTAAGCATTCATTGTTGCATCTATAAAGTTTAAAAAAATCACTCTGCATTACACCATAGAGAATTGAAACATTTAAAATGACAGCATTTTAGTTTTAAGACTGGTGTTGCTTGTTTGAATATCATTAATTTTAATTATTTTTGAAATGGTCAATAGTTATTGTTTGAATACAATGTTTGATAATTTTTACATGATATAGAAACCTTCCATCTACATTGTATCATGTTTGTGAACATAACTTTGTTTACAACTGAGGCATTTTTTTTTTCCATTTACTTTTGTGATTATTTTATATTTCTAAAGCTCTACACTATTAGTATTAATCTCTTTTGTCTAAATTATATTTCACATTTAGTGTTTATCTCTGAACAAATCTTTTCTTATATTTTCAATAGAATTCTTAAGTTTGTTTCTTAAACCTCAAATATTCCATAAGAAGCATTTGTAAAAATGGATCTCAACAAATCTTTCAGACATGGAACAATCCAATGTACATTGAGTTCTAAATGATGAACATGTTTCATTAGGATGCGGAAAGTTTATTGTAGCACATTTATGGCGAGCATTAGAAGTCAGGGATGTAAGTGTTATGAGAAGAAGATCATAAAATAAATTATAAACTCTCCTCAAAAGCTCATCATGTCAATTTACTCTCACACATAGAATCAAATCAACTAGCTCATACAAATACATTCAAATCAGCAGGCATGAAATGTACAAGCCAAACAACTTAAATGTTCTAAATAAAATCAGCATATACAGCAAAAAAGAAATTCTAAAAATGAAAACAGATTTTCAAATTTTATATTATGCTTTAACATCTATAATACAGAAGAGCTATTTCAAAGTTGTTGTTTTTTCAGTGACTTTTGCTCTAAAAAAAAAAAAAAAAAAAACTAGCAATGTTGGACTATAAGAAAATGATTTTTAAAAGACATTTAATTGTGATGATAGTTGCTAGAAATCTTGGGGAAGGGGAGGTATACATTTCTGTCTACACTTTATTGAATTCATTTAGACAGAAAGTTTTAGAAGACCACATATCACAGCATTCTTCAAAAATTTATCATTTAAATCTCCACTATTTGACAGCATAAACACAATAATTGAGGCTATACATCTCACAAGAGGAAGCCATTAATAATAAAATAAAACATGTACACTACTTATACACGCTATATATATAGATATATATTTGGGTGCAATTTATGATTCTGCACCCAAGGTATAATAAAAGTGTTCCGTGAATCTTTAAGACAACATTACAAATATACTTGTGACACCCAACGTTTTTAACTACAATCACACACTGATCAAAGTTAAAAAAAATGTTAATGTCTCAACAATTTATACATTTGAATGAATGAATATATTTTTCTTAATCTGCCAGCATTTTGTTATTTTACACAAGATTTCATTAATACTACATTTCCAACTTTATTCACAAAACATATCATTGTATATCAACAAATTTTCAGTATAAGACATAAAGAGTTTATACAGCATACATATGTAGAGAGTATTATGTAATGTAATCTGTTGAGTAAATACAATTAAATCACAGTCTATATATCTTATCTTGCTAGATCTATTTGTCCATCTAATTTTAATCCATTTTTTTTTGTGATCGGAAAATCAGATACTTTATTTGCCTAAATTTAATGTTTGACTATGTGCAAAAGGGATCAAATTGGAGCAAAAATGTTTTGTTTTTCTAGTTAACACTAGTAAACAAATTGACATTTTGGAAGTCTATAAGGAAAGAAATAAGTGAAAATTGGATCTCTGTAGTTTTATTTTAAAATGATGATCTCTCACTAACTGCTGTAAAATCTGACTGCTTGATAGCATAACAACTATAAGACTGAAAGTCAACATCACACATTCCCGAATGCTTACCAACTTTAAATGAAAAAGGCAAATTTATGTCACAACTTTGAATAGATGGAAAAAAAAGAACATTAATATATTAATAATAATTATCTTTATGAATCAGTGTTAGTATTATAGAAGATTATATTAATTACTTTCATTTCAAGTCATCAGATAAACGGAAACATTTTTAACAGAAAAAAATAAGAAGAATGCATTATGCAATCATTTTGGCCCAATGGCTTTTAATGATACATTTGTTTTCTTCATTGAAATTTCCCTGAGCTTTCTGGATATGTTTAATAGTCACATGGGAGTGTGTAAGAAAATTCCTTTATGGGCCCATGTGTTTATGGTAATGTAATACGTTTTTCAGATTCTTTGTCCATGTGTTCAATGGTTATGTAAACAAAGTCATTCATAATTGTTTATGTCTATGAGTGTAGAGCATCCATGTATCCATATGTAAGAAAGTTCATGCATTTGACCTTGCGTTAAGTGGAAAACATTTTTAATTCC